GTTATTATGAATGGGGTTGTTTCCTTGATTTCCCTTTCTGCTTCTACATTTTTGGTGTACAGAAAGGCAACTGATTTTTGTGGGTTGATTTTGTATCCTGCTACTTTGCTGAAGTGATTTATAAGTTCTAAGAGTTTGGGGGTGGAGTTTTTGGGATCATTGAGGTATATATCCATGTCTTCTACAAAAAGGGATAGTTTAACTTCTTCCTTCCCTATACAGATTCCTTTAATGTCTTTTTCTTGCCTTATTGCTCTGGCTAAGGATTCCAGAACTATATTGAAGAGGAGTGGTGAGAGTGGGCATCCTTGCCTTGTTCCTGATTTTAGAATTGGTTGTAGTTTTTCCCCATTAAGTATAATATTGGCTATTGGTCTGTTGTGTATGGCTTTTATTGTGATTTTTCTTTTTATTGTGAAAATACCATACAGAGGGTTTACAATTACATGGGCAAGGTAACGAGTGCATTTCTTATCAAGCATTGTAGCCTCCTCCTTTGTTTCCCCTTCCCATCCCTTCCCATCCCCCTCCACGCCAAAGTTGTAAAGTTCATTTTCGACATAACGTCTTGTACATCTTGTTTTAAGGAATGTACCTTCTGTTCCTATTTTCTCCAGAGCTTTTATTTTTTATTTTTTGGGTCCGGTCGTGGAGCCTGAACTCTGGGCCTGGGCGCTGTCCCTCAACTCTTCAGCTCAAGGCTAGCGCTCTACCACTTGAGCCACAGTGCCACTTCCGGCTTTTTTCTTTTTGCTTATGTGGTGCTGAGGAATCGAACCCAGGGCCTCAGGCATGCAAGGCAAGCGTTCTACCACTGAGCCACCTTCCCAGCCCTCTCCAGAGCTTTTAACATGAATGAATGTTGTATTTTATCAAAAGCCTTTTCCAAGTCAGTGGAGATAATCATGTGGTTCTTGACCTTGGATCTGTTGATTGCATTTATTGACTTATGTTAAACCATCCCTGCATCTCTGGGATGAAGCCTACTTGGTCATAATGTATGATTTTTTTTGATATGTTTCTGGGTTCTGTTGGCTAGAATTTTATTGAGGAGCTTTGCATCTGTGTTCATCAAGGAGATTGGCCTGTAGTTTCCTTTTTTTGTTGGGTCTTTGCCTGGTTTGGGGATGAGTATGATATTGGCTTCATAGAATGTGTTTGGGATCGTTCCCTCTGTTTCTATTTCTTGGAAGAGTTTGAGGAGTATGGGAATTAGTTCCTCTTTAAAGGTCTTATAGAATTTCTTAGTGAATCCATCTGGTCCTGGGCTTTTCCTTGTTGGGCTTTTCCTCTATCTCATTGTAAGATATTGTCTTATTTTATTGATTTATTTCTTCTTGGTTCAGTTTGGGCAATTTGTATTTCTCTAAAAAATTTTCCATGTTGGCTAGGTTTTCCTTCCTTAGTGAGTATAGATTCTGGAGATAATTCGTTATAATTGGATGTTTTGGGTATTTTGTAATTTTTCTGGTGGGATCCCTGATCTTACTGATTTGCATTTCCTCTTTTCTTTTTTAGTTAATCTTGCTAAAGGTCCATCAATTTTATAATTTTTTTAAACAGCCTTTTGTTTTATTAATTTTATGTATAGTTTTCTTAGTCTCTATCTCATTAATGTTGGCTCTTATTTTGGTTATCTTGCTCCTTCTAGTAACTTTAGGTTCAACTTTTTCATGCTTTTCTAGCAGTTTTAGTTGCACAATAAGATTATTTACTTGGTCTGTCTTTATTTTCTTGATGTGTACACTGAGAGCAATAAATTTGCCCCTCAGGACTGCTTTTGCCATGTCCCACAGGTTTCTTTTGATGTATATTCATTTTCATTGAATTATAGGAACTTTGTTTTTTTTTTGGGGGGGGTCTGGTCATAGGCCTGAACTCTGGGCCTGGGCTCTGTCCCTCAGCTCTTCAGCTCAAGGCTAGCGCTCTACTACTTGAGCCACAGCGCCACTTCCGGCTTTTTTCTTTTTGCTTATGTGGTGCTGAGGAATCAAACCCAGGGCCTCATGCATGCAAGGCAAGTACTCTACCACTGAGCCACCTTCCCAGCCCAGGAATTTTTTAAATTTCTGTTACCTGGGTGTTGCTCATGTATTTGAGTAATTTCTACAGTATGCTTTGTTACTGAGAACTAGCTTGATTCCATTGTGGTCGATAGAGTACAAGGGTTTTTGTCAATCCTCTTGTAAAAAAAATCTCATTCCTTTTTTTTTTTTGGTTGGTCATGGGGCTGAACTCTGGGCCTGGGCGCTGTCCTTAGCTCTTCAGCTCAAGGCTAGCACCACTTCGGTCTTTTCTGCTTATGTGGTGCTGAGGAATCGAACCCAGGGCCTCATGCATGCGAGGCAAGCACTCCACCACTGAGCCACCTTCCCAGCTCCAAATCTCATTCCTTTTTAAAATTGAATAGCCCATTGTAGTGTATACAACATTTTACTCATGTAAAATACTTGATGTTCTATTAATAGGCCTTTTAGGTGGCTTCAGTGTTTTAGCTGATGTGAATAATGCTGCTTATGAATATACTGTATTGTATAACTATCTCATTAACTCTTCACATGTCCACTTTGTCTTCTGAGTATATGCTTAGAAGTTGTATTGCTGGATCCTATGATAATTCTGATGTTAGTATTTTGAGGAACCTCATTGTTTTCTACAGTGGTTGTGCCATTTTACAATCCCACAGGGTGTCTTTTTCTCCACATTCTCACATGTAATTGTGCTTTATTTTTTTCTATTTGTAGTAGGTATCTTAATGGGTGTGAGGTTAGGTTATTGGAGTTTTGGTTTTTATTTCCCTAATGAAAAGTGGTTATCAAAGATATTCTTAAGTGAGATTAAAGAAGCATTTGTCTATTTTAAGTGCAAGTGTGTAGGATTGAGGGATGTACTGTTGGTTTAGCTTTGGACTGCTGCTTTGATATGTACTGAAGTTGTTTTGTCCAAAATTGCTGGGTTTTTTGTTTTTTTGTTTTTTGGGTCCAGTCGTGGGGCCTGAACTCTGGGCCTGGGCGCTGTCCCTCAGCTCTTCAGCTCAAGGCTAGCACTCTACCACTTGAACCACAGTGCCACTTCTGGCTTTTTTTTTCTGCTTATGTGGTGCTGAGGAATCGAACCTAGGGCCTCATGCATGCAAGGCAAGCACTCTACCACTGAGCCACCTTCCCAGCCCCAAGGGTTTTTTTTTATCTCCCCCTTTTCCATCTCTGCTTTTCATTCTCAGTATAAATGTCAACACAGTGAGAAAGGCAAAGAACATTTGGTCTTGTTACAAAAGTAAATATAAACCCACAGATTCCAGGTTCCCAGATCATTCTTTGAGAACCACTAGCTTTTTAAGTATTCGTGTGTGTGTGTGTGTGTGTGTGTGTGTGTGTGTGAGTATATTATTAGTATGGATGTTTTGTTACAATTTATTGTGCTTAGGCATGTAATTTTTTTCTTTCATTTCCTAGAGCTCATTTCAATAAAAACTGTTTTTTATATGATCACCTAAAAATACCCTCTCACTTTGTGTGGATGCCTAGTGTCTTGTATAATTTATCATGTAGCATATGCTTGTTTATTTGTTTTGATATCGTGATTTCTTAAAATGGTATATTGTTTAACTTACTGCTTTCTACCTTCTACAGAATAGGGTCATCAATATTTAAGTTTGTTGTAGCATTTATTCCCATCTTATACCTACACATTGTGAACTCCTATTGTGCTTTTTAAGACCACCCTTAAGGTCCTTCTACTAGATTTAATTGGCTGGGAACGCAGCTTGATATTGGAATTTGGGAAGTTGCCCCAGTTGATTCTGAAATATAGCCATGGTGTTAGAAGTCAGTTGTTTTATAGGGAATGAACACTGTTCATAAGTTTTTTGTTTTTCAACATTGCTGGGGATGGAACCCAGGGCTTCATGCATGCTAGGCAAGTGTTCTGCCATAGAGCTACATCCTCAGTGAATAACAATGTTTTGGTTAATGGTGTTTTGTATACTGTTTAAATAAATAAAATCTAAAGGTGCTTTTGACCCTGCTTCTGGAACAAAGAGAGTTCAGATTATAAAGATCAGTGTTTAAAGACAGTTTTAAGAAGTAAACATTGCTTTTGTGTGAAAGCTTACAAAGGGAAATATATTAGTGATTTTAAAAAGATCCCTGTTTCCTAGGGATAAAAAGTACTATAATAATACTTAATACCTTTGTGGTAAGTTGATTTCAAAAACAACTTGAGGTTAATTTTAATGTTGATTGAAATATTATGGCTAATGAAGGGTCACTTATTCTCAAATTGATAGTGTTGATGCTGGTGGCTCTTGTCTGTCATCCTAGCTACTCAAGAGGCCAAGGTCTCAGGATCTATGTAAGTTGGAAGCCAGTCTAGGCAGACAAATCCCAGAGCCTCTTAACGAATTAATTAATAACAAAAAGCCAATAGTGCAGGTATGGCTCAAGTGGTGCCAACCTTGAGTGAAAAAGTTAAGGGAGAGTGCCCCGGTCCCTCAAGCCCCAGTACTAGCACACACAGAAGATTTCATTTATTTTCTCAAAACCACTTTGATTTATAATATCCTGAGTATTTAGGTACTCACTGTATAAAAAGTATTTCTATTAACAATTGAGTATATTAAACTATTTCAAAGAATGAATTTTGAAGTATGCAAAATCATTTGTTTAATGCTTACTGTATTTTCCTAATAATTTCTTAGAATTGGAAGTTAAAGCTAGGTGCCAGTGGCTCACACCTTTAATCCTAGCTACTCAGGAGGCTGAGATCTTAGGATTGAGGCTCAAAGACCAGGCGGGAAAATCTGTGAGACTCTCTCCAATAAATTCCCTCCAAAAAGCCTGAAGTGGAGTTTTGTAAGTGGTAGAGCACTAACTTTGAACAAAAGAAGCTAAGAGATAGGACTCAGGCGGAGTTCAAGCCCCAGGACCACAAAAAAAAAAAAAAAAAAAAGTTGAAAAATATTTGTCTATCTCTTCAAAGGATTTTTCTGTTTCTTTTAGAGCTAAAGTTGGGAGAACTGCTTCATGATAAACTGTAAGTATGTGTTCTTTGAAGTAGTGTGATATTTCAATGATTTTTTTTTTTGTATTGTAGAATAGTGTTTCTTGAAGGCTAGGTAAATTTACATTGTAAAGCAATGAAAATAAAATTTAAACATACAGTTAACTTTGGACAGCTGACCCTCAGTTATAATGTGAAAGGTCATGGATGGTAAAACTTCGACTTAAAATGTTTTCCTTGAGGTCATATGTTCTGAATGTGGAATTTCTTGAAGCAAAGGTTTGTTCAGTCAAAACTTGTTTGATGACCAGATTTCAGGTGACTGCTTATGTGGAAATAGAGAATCCCTGAGAGAGCAAAATAAAAAAAAAAAATGTAAAAAGTTTAATTATATTTTTATGTCCATAGGTAATCTTGGTATCCATACTACTATGCCACTAGTTTTCAATAGAAATGTGAAATTTTGTGGGCAAGGTGAAAATGTGAAATTAAGTGGGTAAAATTGGGCATTGTTTGTTAAGGGGATACCTAAAGTTCAGTTTTTAATCTTTAGTAGTATTAGAACCATCCAAAGGGCTTTTAAAACAGATTGCAGGAGTTCCTTTTTTAATAGCTGTCGGTTGGACCATAGCTCTTGATTTCTAAGATAGTCCTAGGAGAGGTTTTGATGTTGTTGATTTACTTTGATAATTTATTTTCGCAATTGCAGTTAATATTTTCCTAAAGCTGTGTGAATGTCTGAAGAGTTGTTCTTTGTTTAAGTGTAGAACTTAAAGTTTATTTTTTTTTCAAATTGTGTGAATCAAACTTCAGACTGGCACTGGTGGCTCATGCCTGTAATCAGTCCTAGCTACTCAGGAAGCTGTGATCTGAGGACCCCAGTTCAAATCCAGCTCAGGCAAGAAAGCTTGTTGACACTCATCACTCCAGTTAACCACCAAAAAGCTAGAAGTGGAGCTGTGGCTCAAGTTATAGATTGGTAGCCTTGAATAAAAAAGCTCTGGGACAGCATCTGGGCCCATAATTCAGTCACTAGGACTGACAAAAAAAATTCCTCCAGATGACTGCCATTCTCAACAGTATTTATTGATGAATCTGCTGTTAGTCTATCTTTATCATACATACTTTTTAAAGAAAATTGAGCGTGAACTGTATTTAATTTACATTGATTGGCACGTAAAATTTTCTTGTATATTTTCTATTTGGGTTTAGGATGTTCTTTGAAAAATATTTGTTTTGGCTAACATTCATCCAATTTATAGATGAGAATGTCTTTAATAAAGCTGTCAATTGATTATGTTGTCAAAGTATCTTAAATGGAAGCAGTGGGAGATTAGAAGAACTGTAGGAAATTGTATTTCTTTACACTTTTCTTGATGTCTTTCTGTTGCTTTTTAGAGAAATTATTTAGTGTGATGAGTAGGTATCTTTATTTTTCTGCAGAATACTGTGGTTCTAAAAAGTGCTGTAATAATTCTTATACCATTGTGGGAATTTGGTTTCAAAAGCAACTTGTGGGCTATTTGCAGATTTGGTCTTTTTGAAGCCATGTCTGCTATTGAAATGATGGATCCCAAAATGGATGCTGGCATGATAGGAAACCAAGTAAATCGAAAAGTTCTCAATTTTGAACAAGCTATCAAGGTAATCACTATTTTATTTTTTGTGTGCTTAAAAAAATAACTGTACATATTAAATTATATAATAATGAAGTCAAAGCTGGGTGCCAGTGGCTCACGCCTGTAATCCTAGCTACTCAGGAGGCAGAGATCTGAGGATCTTGGTTCAAAGCCAGCCGGGGCAGGAAAAGTCATGAAACGCTTATCTCCAATAAACCTCTAGAAAACCGGAAGTGGTGCTGTGGCTCAAATGGTAGAGTGCTAGCCTTGAGCTGAAGAGCTGAGGGACAGCGCCCAGGCCGCCCAGAGTTGAAGCCCATGACTGACTGAAAAAAAAAAAAAAAAAAGTCAAACAGTATGCTTACTCGTTTTTAAAGGCATTTAAAATATATAACAAGAATTAGTGCTGGGAAGGTGGCTCAGTGATAGAGTGCTTGCCTTGCATGCACAAGGCCCTGGGTTCGATTCCTCAGCACCACATAAGCAGAAAAAGCTGGAAGTGGTGCTGCAGCTCAAGTGGTAGAGTGCTGGCCTTGAGCTGAATAGCTGAGGGACAGTGCCCAGCCCCAGAGTTCAGGCCCCACGACCGACAAAAAAAAAAAAAAACCAAAACAAAAAAAAGAATTGGTCACAATCTTTAAATTGTAATGTAGTAATTATTTGAGATTTTTATTTTATTTTTCTAAATTTGTGGGCTTTTGTTGTTGTTGTTGTTTGTTTTTATTTTGGTACAAGTCCTGGGGCTTTTCCTCAGAGCCTGGGCACTTATTCTGATCTTTCTGACTACCACTTGAGCCACAGCTCTACTTTTGGCTTTTTGGTGCTTAATTGGATATAAGAGACTCACAGATTTTGCAACTCGGGTTAGCTTTGAACCATGAGCCTCAGATTTCAGCCCCCTGAGTAGCTAGGATTATAGGCATGAACCACTAGTTCCCAGCATGCATTTATATTTTTAAAGTTAGTTTTTTGGTGTTTGAGTATACATTCAGATACCAGCATATTTGTTTTAGAGATTACACTATATAAATTACTATGTCAAGCAAAATGTTACAGATTTTAAATTTATTTCGTAAGTGACAGTTGAGTTAGAAATTCATAAGCAGTTGCCAGAATTTTGTGTTGCATACTTTATAAAAGAGTAGTTGAGCAAATGCTCAACTTACAAGTAGCATTGTTTACAACTTCAGGCAAGTTCTTAAACTTTTTTTTCTTTGTAACGAGTTTCAGGTCATCAAAATGATCCACATTAGTGCTTAAAAATAACTTGTGTTGGATAGTGACACATGCATGCAATCCTAGCATTCCAGGGGTAGAGACAGGAAGATCTCAAAAGTTGAGGGCAGCCTGGCCTATATAAAGTATTCCAAGCAAGCCTCAGTGACATAGTTAGAAATTGTCCTAAACAAAAAACAAAATGTATTTGAACTGTGCTTTTGTCAATTAAGAAAATTTAATAAATGATATTGTCTTAAGAATTTCCTTTATTGAAGATCTGCTTAAGAAGTTCTGTTTCTAAAAGTATTATTTGTTAAGTAAAAATCTTTTTAAACTATATTGTTTTAAGAGTAAAGTTAACTTGAAGTCTTAGTTTAGTTTCATCAGAAGATAACTAGTGTTTTTTGCCTTTAAATTATATTTAACTTTTGAGCTATAAAATGCTACTATATGTAGTGACCAAGCATTTTAAAAAATGCATACTGGGGCTGGGAAGGTGGCTCAGTGAGAGCGCTTGCCTTGCATGCCTGAGGCACTGGGTTCGATTCCTCAGCACCATATAAGCAAAAAGAAAAAAGCCGGAAGTGGTGCTGTGGCTCAAGTGGTAGAGCACTAGCCTTTAACTGAAGAGCTGAGGGACAGCACCCAGGCCCAGAGTTCAAGCCCCACGACCGGACCCCCCCCAAAAAATGTATACTTACATGTCATTCCTCCATTCCCTTTTTTAGGATGGCACCATTAAAATCAAAGACCTCACCTTGCCTGAATTGATAGGGATAATGGATACATGTTTTTGCTGTTTGGTAAGAATTAACATTGAACTGGGGATTATGAATCTGTGATTTAACTGAATATTTAGTTTTAAAACTGTGAACACTAATGTTGAATATGAAATGTATGTGATACAGGGCCTAGTAAAATGGACATAATGAGTGACAAGCTAACTTAGACCATTAGAAGCAGCATTTTATTCTATCTGGGTGCTTTGACATTTTTTTACTTTCTGGGTGAAAGAGCATTTTTTGTTTCTTTGAAGATAATATAGCATTATTTTTCTCAAGTTACCTAGAGAAATGTAATTAGAAGGTTCCACAAGATAATTCAAACAAAGGGAGGTTTAGATTGGCTTTGGGAGATTTTCTTTTTTCTAATATAGAGTAAATGTGGTAAAGTGGTGAATTGTCTACCGTGAAAAAAATATTTTAATGTTATATATATACTGGATATATATATTCTGTAGTCAATGTTTAATTGTAGAAGCATTCTTATTTATACTGCTTTCTTCTTTCTGGCCATTCTTTTTAAAAATATTAACTTTCAATCCTTGTCCTTAGAAGCATGTAGATTTTTATTTTGTCAGCAAATATTTATTGCCAACTGTATTCCAAGTATAACTTTAGTTGTTTTACATACATAGTTTTATGTGGTCTTACATTTGTTAGTCACCTGTGTTTTCTGTGTTTTCTTACACTAGATTGCTTTGTTAAGGACATCCATAATCCTAATAACTGCTCTTTTGCTCTCTAAAGATGTCTTTTTTTCCCCTCAAAGATAACATTTTTTTAGGTTGGTTGTGGGACTAGAATTCAGTGCCTTTGCACTGTCCTTTAGCCTCTTTGTGCTCAGGTTTAGTGCTCTACCACTTGAGCCATAGCACTACTTCCAGTTTTTGAGTGGTTAGTTGGAGATAAGAGTCTCACGAAGACTTTTCTGCCCAGGCTGGCTTCAAACCACAATCCTCAGATATCTCAGCTCCGAGTTAGTAGGATTACAGACCAGAGCCATCAGTGCCCAACTAGCCCTCAAAAATATCTTTATTATTATTACTTTTTTTGTTGATCGTGGGGCCTGAACTCTGGGCCTGGGTGCTGTCCCTCAGCTCTTCAGTTTAAGGCTAGCGCTCTACCACTTGAGCCACAGTGCCACTTTTGGCGTTTTCTGCTGATGCGGTGCTAAGGAATAGAACCCAGGGCCTCAGGCTTGCAAGGCAAGTATTCTACCACTAAGCCACCTTCCCAGCCCCTATCTTTATTATCTTTTAGCTTTGTATATTTGTAGTCAGTTGAGGTAAAGGAGAAGGCAATAAGCTGAGAAACAGTTTGCCAATGTGTAAATGGTTTTATTATGATGTGGAGGTTAGAGAGGAGAGAATAATTATTATGTCTGGGTTAGGAGAGTGAGGAAGTGATCTTGATGTGTGGTACTGAAGCTAATGGTGGATATATTACCAGAGGAGTAACAGTATTTCACTATTTGGGGAATCATGAATAGCTGCTTGTCACTGAAGTCTTACAGGTAGCCATTTGAGAGGAATGTGTTATTTTTTGAAAAGGAAGGCAAGTTAAACAGTATAGGAATTTTGCTAAAATTGTAGAATACAAAGTTCTATGCGACTCTTGAGTTTGGGCTTTAATAGATATATGGTTTTTAATTTAGAAAGTCTTCTGTATAAGTTATTCCAATTATACACCTTACAACAGTTTTTTTCTCATCCATTTTCTTTTTCTTTTTCTTTTTTTAAAATACAGTAGCAGCTATCTAGATCCATTGTAGATTTCTTGGATTTTCTTGTAAAATGTAATAGTGTCAACTTTGGCAAATTATTTAAACTCTGTTCCTTTGTATACAAAAGAGGAAAATTACCTTCCTCAAAGGGTTAGGGAAAAAATTAGAAAAAAATTACAAACCTTCCTAATATGATACTTTGGATATAGTAGTTTCTCTTTTTTCATTGTTACTATAAGGGTTATGTCCACTGGGGAGTTAGAGCTTATTGCCTTTTCCTTTACTCTCTCCCAGTTTTTCCTTCCTATCCTCACCCACAAGTTATATAATTCATTTTCAACATAGTGTTTATGTGTATATCTCTGTTGCATTTGTTCATCATTTGTCCCTCCATTTCTGGTATAGTAGTTTCTTTTTTAAAAAATTTCTTTATTGAGATTAAGTGATTACATAAACTTCACAATATTGTAGGATAGTGATACTTAGCTAAAGTCACAAACAGTTTAACCTTCACAAGGTGAATTGTCATTATCATGGTCTATAAAGCTTCTGAACTCTACAAACTTGGACAATACAAGTATTTCTTCCAAAAGGTGATAGGTACATTTCTTTCCTTTTGCTTAGTTTAAGCTGTTACCTCTTTCTTAAATTGACTATTGTTGGCATTCTCAGTTTTCACTCTTCTCTTGAACCTGTCGTTGTGTTATAGAAAGATTCCTGTGGAAGTATAGAATTAGGAAACAGGAAAACCATTTTCTAATATTGGAATAATCTAAGATTTGATGCTGTTGGTTCAATTGGCAGTTGGTATTGGAGCATAAAAGCTAGAGGCAAAGAACATCATTAGTTCTAAACTTGTGAATTCCTCAGTGTATGGATCTTTATTAATTACATAGTAGAATTGATTCTTTCCAATACTACATAAGGAGACAATTTGCAAGTAATTTTGCATAATGAATTACTAAATATGGAATGCTTTTCATATTACAGCTAATCATTTATAGTATAGTTTGAGTATCTGTAATCTGAAAATCCAACATGATTCAGCATCCAAAAAATTTTTTTATTTTTTTAAGGCATATTGGATTTCAGGTTAGGGATACTCTGTAAAGTCTGTACAATACTCCAAATCCAAAAAACTCTGAAACCAGAGGCATTTCTAGATCTAAGCATTTTAGATAGGGATATTCTTGAAAAACTTAGTGAAAGTGAATTAATTATAACTCTAGTCCTTCCTGTCCTTTCCTTTATCTTTTAAATCTTGTGATTAATCTCATATTTATTTGGGTCTGTGGCACTCTGGCTTTTGACCTCTGGATCACTATAGACTTTACACTCTGTATTCCCTTAAATGTGTTCTTTTGTTTCTTTCTAGATAACATGGTTAGAAGGCCATTCCTTGGCACAGACAGTGTTTACGTGCCTTTATATCCATAATCCAGATTTTATAGAAGATCCTGCCATGAAAGCTTTTGCTCTGGGAATCTTGAAAATCTGTGACATTGCAAGGGAAAAAGTTAATAAAGCTGCGGTTTTTGAAGAGGTAAGATTATGTTAATAAAGGAATTCTTGAAATTTGTTGACTACCTTTTTCATTGTGATGTACTCACTCATTTTGTGATATCTATATTTTTGAATACAATATCATCCAGTTTTTGCTTTTTTGTTTTTCTGGTGCTAAGGGCTTTAAACTGGTAAACAGGTGCTCTACCTCTTGTTGTTTTGTTTTGTTTTTTGTTTTGGGTTCAGTCACGGGGCCTGAACTCTGGGCCTGGGCACTGTCCCTCAGCTCTTCAGCTCAAGGCTAGCGCTCTACCTTGAATTGGAAGTGATTTTTTGATGTTGTTGTTTTGTTTTGTTTTTTGTTTTGGGTTCAGTCACGGGGCCTGAACTCGTGCTCTACCTCTTGAGGCATGCTTCCAACCCTAAGGTCAGGTCTTCAGAATTATGCAATTGCCAGGTATGGTGGCATTGTATCTATTGAGCTGAGGGAGGAGGATCAAAGTTCAAGATCAGTGGGAGCTACATTGCTGGTGTGGCATGTGCCTGTGAGTCCTGGCTGCTGGGAGGCTAAAGCAAAAGGGCCAGTCTCAAAAAAATACTGGCTGAAAGTATCTAGTTCTATTCAGGTTCTGTATTGTTACACTTGCAAATAAATGAAACTAAATTATATTTGGATATTGTGTATATATTGTGTATATTAGTGTGAGAAAATTTATTTTGCTGTAAATAATCTAGGACATAAAAATGTAGTTCATATTTTATCTATAAAACCTTTTTAAGCCGGGCGCCAGTGGCTCGTGCCTGTAATCCTAGCTACTCAGGAGGCTGAGATCTGAGGATTGTGGTTCTAAGCCAGCACAGCCAGGAAGGTCTGTGTGACTTTTTTTTTTTTTAATTTTAATTTTTTTATTTTTTCTGTTAGTCGTAGGGCCTGGGTTCTATCCTTGAGCTCTTCATCTCAATGCTGGTGCTCTACCATTTGATCCACAGTGCCACTTCCAGCTTTTTCTGCTTATGTGGTACTAAGGAGTCGAACCCAGGGCCTTATGCATGCGAGGCAAGCACTCTACCACTGAGCCACCTTCCTAGCCTGCCATCTGTGAGACTCTTATCTCCAATAAACTACCAGAAAGCCGGAAGTGACGCTGTGGCTCAAGTGGTAGAGCGCTAGCCTTGAGTTGAAGAGCTGAGGGACAGCGCCCAGGCCTAGAGTTCAAGCCCCACAGCCAACTAAAAAAATAAATATATATAACTTTTTAAACTGACAGTATTTAATCTTTTTTTTTTTTTTTTTGGTCCGGTAGTGGGGCCTGAACTCTGGGCCTGCGCGCTGTCCCTCAGCTCTTCAGCTCAAGGCTAGTGCTCTCTCACTTGAGCCACATCACCACTTCTGGCTTATTTGCTTTTTGCTTATGTGGTGCTAAGGAATCGAACCCAGGGCCTCATGCATGCAAGGCAAGCGCTCTACCACTGAGCCACCTTCCCAGCCCCGACAGTATTTAATCTTAGCAAAGATACAGTACATTGGCACTTTACTGTTTTTGCTTGTAGAAATGCATAGATACAGCTGTTTGGGGAAGAATTTTACAACATATATAGGTATATACATATATATGACAAATGTGGAAACTTTGTGCCTACATATGTTAATCAAGAGATTGTAATGGTGAACAATGCCGTCATTGGTGTTAGAGGTTAAGTAAATTATAGATAGTTTATTAAACATAATGACTGTATGAGGAGATACTTCTTTTTTTTTTCTTTCAGTCATGGTGCTTGAACTCTGGGCCTGAGCTCTGTCCCTCAGCTCTTCAGTTCAAGGCAAGTGCTCTACCACTTGAGCCACAGTGCCACTTCTGGTTTTTTGATAGTTTATTGGAGATAAGAGTCTCACAGACTTCCCTCCCCAAGCTGGCTTTGAGCTGCGATCAGGTGTGAGCCACTGGCGCCCGGCAAGGAGCTATTTCTTGAAAGATAAAGAAGTCCAGCTACTTAGGAGGTAGAGATGGTTTAAGGCTACCTTGGGCAAAAATCATGATAGGTTGGCCTGCATTTCAGTAAATTAGTTCAGTGTGATGCTGCATTCCTTGGGCAAAACAAAAGATAGTTGGCCCGCATCTCAGTAAATTAGCTGAGTGTGATGCTGCATTCCTGTACTCCAGCTTACAAGGGAGGCATATGTACTTAGGAGCATCTTTGTCTAAAACTGGCTGTGGCCAAAAACTAGAGATCTTATCTGAAAAATAATTAAAGCGAAGAAAGGCTGGGAGTGGATTGCAAGTGGTACAGTATTTGCCTAGCAAGTGTGAAGCCCTGAATTGAAACTAAAGTTACTACTCCCCTCTAAAAAAAAGAAATTGAAAAGCAGGACATATTATAGCTAACTTCATAAGCAGAAAAGTGGAAAGCACTATACCAAAGGTTTGCCCTCTCGATGTAAAGTTTTTTTTCTATGCATTGAATTTTGCTGATTGTTCTTGATTCATTTAAAAATTAGAAAACAGAATCCTGGCGCTGGTGGCTCATGTCTGTAATCCTAGCTACTCAGGAGGCTGAGCTCTAAGGATTGAGGTTCACAGCAAGCCGGGGCAGGAAAGTTTGTGAGACTCTTATCTCCAATAAGCCACTTAGAAAACTGGAAGTGGCTCTGTGGCTCAAGTGGTAGAGCACTAGCCTTGAGCTGAAGAGCTGAGGGACAGACAGTCTTCAGACCATAGTTTCAAACTCCATGACTGATCAAAAAAATAAAAAAAAAATTAGAAAACAGTTGGTTGCTGGTAGCTCACATCTGTAATCCTAGTTTCCCAGGAGGCTGAGATCTGAGGATCTTGGTTTGAGGCCAGCCCAGTCAGGAACGTATGAAACTGTTATCGCCAGTTAATCACTAGAAAACTGAAAGTGGATCTGTGGCTCAGAAGTGGTAGAGAGGTAGCCTTGAGCAAAAAAGTTCAGGGACCGCTCCAGGCCCCGCATTCAAGTCCCATGATCGACAAAATAAACAAAACAAAATAAATACAATATTAATTTTCCTTGTAAAAATCCTTAAGAAATCTAATAATTATTAAGTAATGAATCCATTTTTTTATTCTTAATTTTTCTTTGTTATTATCCTTAAGCAGTTGTACAAAAGGTTTTCAATTAAAGATATTTAATTCCTATCATAAAAATGTTCCATCAAGTAAAAAAAATTGTTAAAGCTGTGCAGTTATTTTTGTTATTATAAAGTTGATGTACACAGGGGTTATATATTGTATTAAGAGTATATTATTGCTGGGCGCCCGTGTCTCATGCTTGTAATCCTAGCTACTCAGGAGGCTAAGATCTGAGGATCACAGTTCAAAGCCAGCTGGGGCAGGAAAGTCCATGAGACTCTTATCTCCAATAAACCAGTATAAAATTGAAAGTGGAGCTGTGGCTCAAGCAGTAGAGCACTCGCCTTGAGCTGAAGAGTGCAGAGACAGCACCCAGGCCCAGAGTTCAAGCCTCACGACCAACCAAAACAAACAAAAAGAGTATATTGTTTTAGGGCTGGGAATGTGCTTAGTGGTAGAGTGTTTGCCTAGCATGCATGAAGTCCTGGGTTGATTCCTTAGAACCACATACATAGAAAGAGCCAGAAGTGACACTGTGGCTTATAGTGGTAGAATGCGTTAGCTTTGAACAAAAGAAGCTCAGGGACAGTGCCCAGGCCCTGAGCAAGCCCCAGGACTGGCAAAAAAGAAAAAAAAAAGTATATTGTTTGTTGGGGCAATGTCAGCATTCATTTTTTTTTTTTTGGGGGGGGGGGTCAGTCATGGAGCCTGAACTCGGCCTGGGTGCTGTCCCTTAGCTCTTCAGCTCAAGGCTTAGTAAGTACTCTACTACTTGAGCTACAGCACCACTTCTGGCTTTTTTTGCTTATATGGTGATGGGGAAGCAAACCCAGGGCCACATGCATGCAGGGCAAGCACTCTACCATTGAGCCACCTTCCCAGCCCTCATTCTTTCATTTTTTAAATTTCGTGCTGGTCTTGGGGCTTGAATTGAGGCCTTTGTGGAGCTGTTGACTTTTTTTTTTCCCCCTTGGGGTAGTACTCTTCCACTTGAGTCACACTTCTGCTTTTTGAGATTTGTTTTTTTCTAGTTTTCCTAGCAGTTTTAATTGCATCATGAGGTTATTTACTTGAGCTGTTTCTATTTTATGTGTGCACTTAGGGCTATGAACTTTCCCCTCAGCACTGCTTTTGCTGTATCCCAGAGGTTCCGTTCTGATGTGTTTTCATTTTCATTGAATTGTAAGAACTTTTTAATTTCTTCTCTGACCTAGATGTTATTCAGCCTTCATGTATTTGAGTGATTTCTGCAATATATTTTGTTGTTGAGAACTAGTTGATTTAATTGTGGTCAAATAGGATGCAAGGAATTATGCCAATCCTTTTGTATTTGCTTACGTTCTTTGTGAGTACTTTAACTACCTATTTTGGAGAATGTTCCATGGGCTGCTAGGAATAATGTGAATTGGTTCCTTGTTGGGTGGAATTCTGTCTGGCAAGACCATTTGGGTTATAGAGGCTTCTTTGCTTATCTTTTGTTTGTTTGACCTGTCCTTTGGTGAGAGCAGGGTATTAAAAATTTCTCACCATTATTGTGTTTGAGTCTATCTTGTTCTGCAAGTATTTGTTTAACATATTTAGGTGCTCCATTGGTGCATAGATATTGGCCACTGATTTCCTCTTCTTAGATTTTTCTCTTTATTAATATGCAATGACCTTCCTTGTCTTTTTGTTCTGATTTTATTGAGAAGTCTATTTTATCAGATATTAAAATGTCTATTCCTACCTTCTTTCAAAGTGCATTTGCATGGAAGATCTTTTTTTTAATCCCTTCACTCGGAGTTTGTTTTTATCTTTTACTGTGTCATGGATCTCTTGGAGACAAATGGATGGATCCTGTTTTTGGATTGTTTATATTTAGGGTTATTAGAGATGTGATATGTTTCCTGCCATTTTCTTGATTTATTGTATTTTTGTTTCTTTCCTTTTCCTGTGCTTACTAAATTAA